AGTTTGGGCGATCCAAAATTTAATTTTCCCCATCCACCTCTGAGTAGACTCTAATTCTTAAGTTAAGTATTTAATATATATTTTTATTTATTTTGTGTAAAATATACTAAAATCTATATATCTCAGGAAAATATTATTTGGCGGACTCGGCGTATCCAAATATTCATGGATATATGACGTCGTACATCGGGGGAGTAAGAGTACCTATGCCTGATTTTAGAACAATACCACCTAGAGGATTAAAAAAACATTTTAACAAGCTACATTAATAATTTAGAATGAAGGTGGAATGTTTATTTGGATAATTGAAAAAAATGTGGAGGATATTAGATAACATGCCACAAGTTTCACAGAAGACTCAAATGTCAATCATTGTAGCCACTTATACTCTACATAATTTTATTTGGATGCATAAGCTTGGCATAACAATCATTCAACATGATGCGAATATAGGAGTAGCAGATTCAACTATGTTTGCACAATGGCGCAAAGATAGTATGGCTAGAGTGTGACATCTTATAACACTCCGAATTTGGAGGGCTAATCGATCGGAAAGCGACAAGGAAAGTGATACCAATGAAGATCAAAGCGACAATGAATATGATGAAAATGGCGATCATATGAAAGTAGATGGTTAATTCACCACGATGTTAAACTCTTATATAATTATGTTCCTATTTTGATATGCGGTTGTAATAATTTCAAGATGTTAAACTATTGCCTTTTATCATTCTACTACAAACAAATGTTAAATATGGTACACATTTATTTATGTTTTCATTCACCTAAATCAATGGTATGCACTTGTTAATAATAATAAAAATGATGATGATGATGATGATGATGATGATAATAATAATAATAATAATAATAATAATAATAATAATCGGCTCAGCGGATGCGAGACAAGTATGGGGCGCGTTGCAGGGCTATTGGCTATGGTTTTCTTCCGTTCTCCTTTTCTTCGTTGAGTGAATTAGAGAAGGATGTTGTTGCGTTGCTGAAGCGGGTTCAGGCGTTCGCTAAGACTTAGGATATTGGTGTTCGTGCAGCTGCTTACATCTTCAGCAGGATCGGGTTCGCTATAGCTAGAGGGGTGGGGGGCCATATTGTATCTCGGCTCTCCACCAATTTCTTGTAAATTAATTGACTTTGTAAGTTTTTTGATATTTTATAATAATAATAATAATAATAATAATAATAATAATAATAATAATAATGAAATCTGCTCTACTGCTCTCCTCTCCTATCCTGAAATCTGGTATGCTCCGTTTAAATCTAATCTGTTCTGCTGACCCCTACTCTACTCTGCTCTTCTCTGCCTAAAAGCTCAAAAGAACAAAGCCTAAGTCTAGAAGGGTAATCATGTTCCTTGCACCGTGATGCACCACTACAGGAGCAACTGACGATTGTAAGATGGGAACTGGCATAACATCTCACCGGATATTGCTCCTCGCCACAGGCTATCTTATAGTGAAGTAAGGGTAGAGGATATTCTACACTAGACTTCACATCGTGGGATACCTTTCTCTTAAAAAAGGTAATCACTTCCTCTAGACAAGACTGCATTACCAGAGTATCCATGGAATGCGAAGTGGGAGCCAACGGAAAGTGTGAAGTAGGCATCTCTTGTTACTCTTGTCCACAAGGAAACCTAATTTAAAAAGGAATAACGGTCTTTGATACCCTAGATATTATTCCCTGTACTTGAACAAGACAAAAAATGGCGAGGAAGAAGCTTGATCAAATGTTTGTATGCACATACAACACCTGATATGATAAATTTTCCTCTTTTTATTACAAGGATAACTATATATATGCTCTAAATCTAGAGTTAATTGGTCCATGTCTAGTTGTTGGTCTGCATATATTGAGGTATACTTTTATTGAACCAAATTCATTTTCATTGCTATTCAGCATAGTTTTGTGTTGTTCCGGTATCTTCAATCTTCCATGGTGTTCACATACACAAATTAGTGGAAAAATTATTTGACCGCTACAATATATATATTTAAATGACATTATTATAGCTCATAAACAAAACAATTATAGTTATTATATTAATGCTATAAAAAAAAAAGTTGACAAAATGTAAATAGTTACACTACTTATAATTTGCATTTGCTAGTATAAAAACGAGAGAACCAATGCAACAGTAGATAAATGCATGGTGCTTGATGGCATTGATATTGATTTAATAGAGTGCTCACAACTCACAAAAGTAGAAAAAAATGGGTAGGTTGAAGAAGAAGAGAGAGAAATTAAGAAGAGGTGTTGTGTCTAAGTCTCTACCATAAGCTGCTGAATGTCACTAGAGTTACTTCTACTATTGGCATAATTATTTAAGACATCTGAAATCTCGTAACTTCTGCTCCTCTTTATCTTGTAGTCATGTGGGTAGGAAGGGGAATGGTGTTGCCCATAAGCTTACTAATATAAATAGAACATACAATGAAATGAGAGTGTGGATTGAAGAAGTCCCATCTTGAGTGTGTAATGTTGTTGCCCTTGATGTAACTTGATTTTCTCCTTAATAAAGCTTGGTTGTGTTTGTGTGTAAAAATAAAAAAAATAAAATAAAAAAGAGAAAGAGAGATAAGAGGGGTTGATATAGAAATGGAGTTGGTATAGTATCTATATATGCACATCATGAGGTTTTGTGTGTGGATGGCCACACGGTGTGCCCAGCTAACACATGACAAAAGTAACCCCACCCACCTAGTAACCCTTGACCAAGTAACCCCTCTGATCAACTAACCCCTGACCGAACTAGTAACCCCTTTGATCAACTAACCCCTGACCGAACTAGTAACCCCTAACCTAACCATCAATTCCACCGCTAAAGCAGCCACCAAACCACCAAGCATACACATAACTCAGCCATTGTATACAATCTAAAAAAGAAAATTGTTCTTATCACAATATACGCAGTATTTCCCATATACATATGCCCTTACGCAAAGGTGGAGTGGTGGTGTAGTGGTTTGTTGCGGCGGTTTGGTGGTGTTCAATTTCTGGAAAGTGAATTTCAATTTCAATTTGCGCCAATCTATGCCAATCCATGGAAACTTCTGCCCCAAACATCAAGAACAACCCTAAAAGGCTAAAAGATGTTCACCGAAAATGGACGACTAAGACAACGATGACGATCTGGGTTATAGCTTCAAGGAGATCTGGGTTGGTTTGGTGCTTCGAGGAGCTTTGACGACAACGAACGCGAATACGTTAGAAATGAAGACGACGACGGGACGGTTAGAGATAGAACGTTAGAAAGAGAAAATGAGAGGGGAGGAAAGAGAGAAAATTACAGGAAAAAAAAATTGGTTAGCCACATAGTATTGCCAACCACATATGAAAGTTGGTATATGCACCTAATATATGTGCAATATATATTTATAATATATAATATAATATGACTATTTTTAAGTCATTATGAAATTTTATATAATAAATGTTTATATTAATAATTCGGAATAATAAATTCATTTACATTTTGGTTAAGAATTAGTTTAAAAGGATTTGAACCTACTTATTGAAAAATTTGTATTGTCATTGATGAAAAAATTTATTAACATAGAGACTAAAGTTTTATCTAAAGTTCGACAATGGTGGAATATAGAATAAAGGAAAAATTAGAAAAAATAATCCCAACTTTCATCAATTTTGGAAGAATAATCCCAACTTTCGATTATTCTGGAATAATTTAAACTTTTAGGGGTCTTCTTTTTCTTCAATCCCAAATACCGGTTACCGGTTGAATGGGTTGATTTTTCTTTTTGTTTAAGTGACACGTGTCGTGATATAATTGGTTAAAATACAAAAAAAAACCCACCCATTTCAAAACCAGCCAGATCGACAACCCGCCCAGTCAGCCACCTCCCTCGCTGGACCGCCGTCTCTCCCCCACCAGCAGAGTCGCTTCTCCGGCATCCTCTCAAAACCACCGTCCCCCCTCCCCAAAACCCTTACGCAACCACCAATAAAACCTCTCCTTGAAACCCCAACCCCGAGCACAAACAAAATCCTTTCCAATTTCGGCCACCAGCCAAACCCCAAAAACCACCGGCTACTGCTATTACTCATCCCCCTACGCCGCTATTTCCCCTCCTTTCCGCCGGTTTCTCTTTCCTATATGTCGGTGTTGCGATCCCCTAACCTCCCTCCTTATCTCCCTTTCCCGTTTTCCGGCAACCACTCCTTCCCTTGAAATTTCTTTCTCCACTCGAAAACCCCTTATAACCACCTCCTCTACTCTCGAAAATCACCAAAAACCCATCCCCTCCCCTACCATCGAAAACTCTAGCCGCTCACTACAATAATTCACCACTTGTACCACAAATTATGTCACGGGAATTCTAAATTCGTGGCATAATTTGATCTAGCCACGGGAAAAATAAAGTCAACAAAAAACTTGATATGACAACAAAATATTATGCCAGGGGAAAAAAAAGTCGTGGATAATTGAAACTTGTGCCACGACTAAATTTCTCTTCAGTGGCAAATAAACACTTATGCAACGGGTAATTATGTTCCTGTGGCAAATTGACACTCGTGCCACAACTAATATTGTTCTCGTGGCAAACAAAGACTTGTGTGATGAGTATTTTTCCACTGTGGCATTTAGTTTAACACTTGTGTCACATTAAAATTTAATTCAATGGCAAATATATATTAAGACAAACAGATCACATTGCTTTAAGGAAATTAACCTTAAACTAACTCCATGAATCTTACTGCATATATAGTAGTTTTATGTTATGGTTAAATAACAATTAGTTTAACCATGAATAAAAATTTTCATTACAAAGTCCATAATTATTTTTTTGGGTACTAGGATTCCTACCTCAATTTAGCCAATTACATACATAAGGTCCAATATGACATTTTTACAATTTTTTTTGTCATAGTTTCTTTAATAATCCTAGTAACCCATAAATCCATAATGGTAATATAATATAAATCTGTAAATTAAAGATGATAATATATATGCGCCAAATAGCTTCATCCACCACCAATATATATTAGTATAAAACTAACCTCAATCAACATCAAAATAATCCAAATAATGCACCAAAATGGCATCAGCTAGGTTTCAAATATCAAAATCCCAAATAAATTACACCATAAAAAAGTTCAAAGCTAGGACTTAGCAGCATTGGGCCAACAGTAATGAACATCATTGTCAAAGGAAGTGGACTTCTCTTGCACCTCAGTCTCACATGCTTCCTAGGAAGAAACAGACAAAGCAGGCCCTCTGATTTCTTTAGGTACAGAAGACGGTATTATTGGAATTGGAGCTGAATAAACTACAGCCTTCGAAGACATATTCTGCGACATTGCTCTAGGATCTGAAACTAATGATGTATTCTTTTTCTGCAACGGAGGCTATTTAGTATATCTTGGAGGCCTCTAGTGGGTTTGGTCGAGGTTATAAACATTGAGTTCATAGAGTCTTTTCTCTTTTGGCAACTTTCGTGGCTTCCTTAATTGTTGTTTTTGCTTGGAGATTGATCCATATTTGATGGCTACATGCATTGGCTCTGAATTTCACTTCAAATTAAGTTTGTCCTATGAAATAAGCAAAGAAATTTTGTCAGAATGTAGTTTTAGTTTGTCCTATGATAAAAGTACAAAATCTAAAATTACAAATTTGCAAAAGGGTAGCTAACCTGAGCTTTATCATCTGGATTCTTCAGAATAGCCTCAATTACTTGGAGCATTGGAGTGACACTAGTCCCACCAGCAATATGTTGCCAATTGGAAGTACACAAAACATCAACCAACAGAATACTTTTAAGCAAGGAGCATAGTTTACAACATTGTGAGACCTGAGGTAACTACTTCTGCTAATGCCACATTCAGATGTGCATCCAGAGTATTTTTACAAACTATATTTCCGTCATGAGAAGCCAACACTACCCCTCCTGAACTTCTAAACAAAAGAAAAAGCAACACAAACTTAGGATCATAAGCAAGGCAACACAAGATATGAAGTTATGACTTATGTAGTTATAATCGACAACATATATCTTGTAAGAAAGAAAATAGAGGTAAGATACCATGAAGGACCATGTTCTTGTGAGGTAGAGGGATATGGAGGGAGAGAGACATCATCAATGATAATCGTGGGTGCTTGTGCTTTAGCCTTTTCAGCATATTTCCTTTTAGAATCCTTGAGAACATAATCAACCGCTTTCTTATCCATCTCCCTGCAGCATATCAGTATAGAAGGTTCCTACAAACGTAGTAAGCCTTGAAAAGAGAGGATAAGTGTCATACACATAACATTAAAAAGAATACTAGAGTGACTTTGAAGCTAAGCATGCAGTTACAAGACAAAAGGAGGATCCATACCAAAACCAACAAGCTGAATTACAATACAAACAAACAAAAAAAAAACAAAGCTTGTTGTAGTTATAGGGACCTGAACACCAGAGTCACTTAGAAGCATTGAATTCTTGTCAACAGAAATAGCCAATGTTGAAGAGCTTTTATCCGAGCTTTCTCATTTTGAGGCAAGCCTTTTCCCACCTAGATAAAATTAGCATAACAATGAAAAATTCAGCATTACAGAAGAACTAATTAACATAACACAACCACACAATATTCACACATATGAATTGTTAATGATATAACTATATATTGCATCTTAATATATATAACTATATATTAAGCTGCACAGAACTATGAAACCCAATCTATATCAACGAAAACACATAAGATACATGGATGACGGATTATTATAAACTAACAATAATCTCTCTTCTTAGATTTAAACTCAATTCAAATTTTAAAAGAACTCGATAATCAATTCACTCGGCAATTAAATCTTATAAAACTTGCACTACCTATTATTTTAATAAACTTCTGAAGCAATCCCTTGGAGGAGTCACTCAAGACAGAAGATAACAGGTCAACAAATAATGTAAAAGTGTTTGCATTAGCTTCAAACCTCTTTCTTACCATTATATCCTCTGATAATTGTATTATAGGTAATACCAATTTGACTCAACCAGTTGTTGTGGTTGTGCTGACATAAACACTCTGAGTTTGATTGCATTCTCTGTTGACTGGAGTTGGCTCATTAATGTATTGATAATCATTGTTTGATACCTCACCTTTATGTACATTTCCTAGGACTTCCTGGAAAATTAAGAAACTTAAAGTTCTTATATCAGATTTTTTATGAATATACTGCCTACTTAGTTCAAACATATTGAGGATCAACCAATTATTATTGTGGATAAAATGTTTATTGTAGCAGTCAGACTCAAATACTAACAAGAAATTCAGTTGATGACATCCCAACCAATCGGACACAATAAATTGCTAGCATGAAACAATATATAGCCCCAGAAAAAAATTGAATACTTCAATTCTCAAGGAACTAAAATCAAATATTATTCAAAAAGTAACCCAATTCAGTGAAAACAACGCAAGAAATTCAAGAAAAACAATATAACCCAAAAAGATCAAATATATATCAGAAACCCAATTCAGATCCGACCTCAAATCACCCATATAATGAAAAAAAAAATCAACAAGAACTAAATCAAATAACTGCCAATAAATAGAGCAGCCTTTACCATTGTCCATAGTCATTATTAAGTAAGCTAATTGGCAGATGGTGATGGATTAACAACCTAAGGAAACCCCAAATTGATATCACTAATATTAAAAAAAAAAAAAATAGAAACCGCGAATTGATTTGAAGAAACGTAACTTTAGAAAAGTATAAAATTTCAGATTTGGAGAGAAGGAAATTACTTATGAATTTGATATTTTTCACTTGAGTGGAGAGGAGAGTAGGGTAGATGGATAAACACTTGAAATTAGTAGAGAATGGAGCTTAGAGTGAATGCCTGAAGAAAGAAAATCCACTACTTGGAGGGAGTAAAAACGAAGAAACATTAGAATCACGGTGAAATCAAAAGGTGAGTTTTAGGAAAATCGAAGTAATGAGCATTGTAATTTACAATGAGCGTGTAGTTATTGCTTTTGTTAGGCATTCACTCCATTTCGATTTTTTAATAAATTACTTGTACTTGGAGTCTTGGAGGGAGTTTTCCCGCCAATATTGCTTATAGACACAGTCAAGTATCTGTCCAAAATTGACCCGATCTAAACATCACTTTGTCCAATATATATCGAGACCGGAGATTTATGCGTCCCCTAAAGGTTAGACTAGTGTTCGGTATAGTATTGCATACATTATTTTATAATAATTATTTTTCTCTTTTGACTACACACCATATTATAATTATAATTATATTATAATATCATTCATAAATATTTCTTTTTTTTTAGGGGAATCATTAATAAATATTTCCCCTAAGTTAAAAAAAATTAAAGCAAAATCAAAACACACAACCCAAAACTAATTAGGCGCTTAAACTCACTTTCATGTGTAATTAGCCGCCAATATGCAACAAAAGATAAAAAAAAACAAATCATCTAAAAATTGTAAAACCTTGTTTTGCTTGAGTGTTGAGAGTTAAAGCAGTTCACACCCAAACGCTGAAAGAGTGAAAGGCAAATCCCTTGAATTCGTTGAAAGACCAATTGCAAGACAAATTCCTTCAATTCATTGAAAGACCAAGGTAAGATAGTATTCATAATTTGTTTTAGATAGCTTTCACGTTTTATTGCAAGTATTCTATGGTAATTTAACTTCTTTTAATTTTATCTATTTTGCGATTTAATGGTGAATTTTGTGTTCAATTGATTTGTGTTATTTAATTTTCTTAATTTCGAATGGTATCATAACTGTTTTAGATTAATTAATTCTATTTTTGTAAAGGTTAAATTAATAGAGTATGATTTTATTCGGTATAATCTTTTCTATTTTTTTTTGGTCAATTATGTGATAACTAATTTGTAATTTGCTTTCATTGATCATATTAGTTCTTTGCATGCGCTGGTAATTTTGAATGGTATCATAACAATTTTAGATTAATTAATTAGATTTTTGTAAGGTTAATTGAATTGATTTTGTTGGGGTATAATATTTTCTATTTTTTAGGTCAATTATGTGATAATTAATTTGTAATTTGCTTTCTTTGATCATATTAGTTCTTTGCATGCACTAGATACTCTAATATGTTTGCTTTGTAATCATGTAAACAAATCAATTTAGAAATAGGATTTTTTTACTTTTACCACCAAAAACAATCAAAAAAATGTATTTTACCATCAAAATTTCTAAAACTTTTATTTTACCACCTTATAAAAAATTCAAAGTTGTTTTTTTACCACCTGTCGTCAAAATCCTAACGGAATTTTTAAAAAATTTCGATTTTCGTGTCAAACACAGGCTCTTCAGGGGTTTTGGGGGGCACTTTAGGTCTACGGGACCAATTTGAGGTCAAAATTGACAAAAAAATGATCGAAAATGCCTCATTATGCATGTTTAAAAAAACCTCGATTTGCGCGAACACACAAAACGAGGCATTTCCGATCATTTTTTGTCAATTTTGACCTCAAATTGGACCCATAGGGCCAATGTGCCCCCCTAAACCTATGAAAAACATCTTTTGCGTACAAAATTCAAAGGATTTTTTTTTAAACCGTTAGATTTAACGGTTTTCTTGACGTTTGGTGGTAAAAAACAATTTTTAGAAATTTTTTTGGTGGTAAAATAAAAGTTTTAGAAGTTTTGGTGGTAAAAAAACAATTTTTTGATTTTTTTTTGTGGTAAAAGTCAAAATTTCCTTAGAAATATTATATGCACAAAATCTAATATGTTGCTTGTATGCGATGATATTGGTTCTGATCAGTCTACTGATTGTAAAATTGATATGTTCTTCTTAACTTATATGTTATTTGCATCCGTTGATATATTTATTCTGATGCTAGATAAAATTGATATGTTTTTTTCTTAACTGCTATATTGTTTGGATGTGCTTATATACGCTTATGATCAGTCTAATGGGATATGTGGGGAGGGGTTACATTTGATGGGACATATCTGAAATTGTCACCTTGCAATGGCCAGAATGCCACATTGCCAACTTAATTCATCGGGGTTCTTTTTTAAAATATTGAGATGTATTTTTCCACGAATCTATGTACGATTAAGCTTGTTTGGCAACCTGTTAATCAACCTTGGTACCAGTTTTTTTTTCTATGACATATCAAAGCTGACTGATAGAGAACTTGCTTTACCAAAATACATAACTTGAAAATAAACTAAAAAAAAAAAAAAACAAATAGAAGCCACTGGACATAATAAGCAATTAAGCTATCCTAAGTCCTAATTGATTCTCACAAATCTTAGCATTGTGATAAATAGAAGATTTATAACTTGAAATAAGATATAAATCTGCATTCAATCCTAATTACCAGGCTTAAACAAAAACCCTCTTGATACCTACCACTTGGACAAAACCTCTTGGAGATTTCATTTACCAGGCTTCAACAAAAACCCTTAATAGGTAAATACTAAACATCACATGGGTTTTCCTACTATGGATTTGTTGGAAGTTGGAACTCCAAAAAGCGCCAGAATTCAGAACACCTGTGAGGCTGTGACAAAGGATCAATATTCTATCGCTTTACACAGCTATACTCTATGATACAATCATCACAACAAGAGACACAAGGACTATCAAGAGCCATAATTACATAAAATTTTTACCACAAATTTAGGTAACTATCACACTTCAGAGACCTAAAAGTATACCTTACTATAAATTAATCTCATTAGCGCCAAACAGACAGCCAGAGAGTAACACTGCCATTTACCCAATCCGCATCCATATTGATACCTACCACACTCACTTAAATGGAATTTGGGAAGCCTTTAAATTAGGGATTGTTTTGTAAATACTTGATTTCTCAGTAGCTTTTAAATAAACTTGATTTCTCAACAGCTTTCAAATAAACTTGATTTCTCAACACAAGCATAATACTAAGCACACTGATAATACCTTGTTTGATATGCCATTACTGATAGAAATATAGAATTTTCATTATCCATGGTAAGTATTAGAAACTACGTTGTGATGTTAAGATATAAAAAATATAGGGATCTGTATTCCCAAGAGGGTATGGACCACCAATAAACCATAATAGTTTCATAGGTGTTCGAGTCCCTCCACAATGACACTGCATCATTTTCCAGTCAATGGAATATACCTCACCCGAAATAGCAAAATAATTCTTGAACGTCAAAGTTCAAACACCTCTTAGATAGTACTGATACTCTATGAATCTTATAAACACTTTAAAGCCTGATTCTTATTTTATTTTTTTCAAAACGTTTCAGACACTAACAGCCCAGAAACAAGTAGAGTATACTTTTTCTTCATATACTCATAGTTCCTCAATCCCACTATTTGTCCACATTGGCTAAATATTAAAAAGTGTGCTCTAAAGAGTCAAATTTAAACCCTTTTTTTTGGGTGGTAAGAAAGTACAAGTAAAAGGAATTTTATGAATATCACCACCTAACCCAGCAATATATGAATAAGTTTTATTAAAACCAAAATAAAAAAAATGGAAAAAATTAGTAAGACCCGGGTAGTATTAGTGATATTTCTTCCAAAAACAAGATTTGAGATTCATTGACAATAATAAATCATATTTTTTGTTGAAAGAAATAAAGATTCCTCCTCCAATCTTTATCAGTTGCCTCAATTTGACTTCTAAATTAGCCGCCAACTCTCCCTTAATCATAATTTGTAAAATATTTTATAGTTTTGCTAAAAGAAAACTAAAAAATCAAACTGTATGTGCATTGTTAAACATCAACTACAAATGATGTAATCACTAAAAAATGCAGGAATAATAATTAATGTTTAATTGCTACTTCTATAATTGTTACCTTGTTCCAGCAACCAAAATATTTTCAACCCTACATAGTTTGATAGTCTGTAACTCTATAGAAAAACACTTTATTGGAAATTTGCAAAAAACCTTGTCATAACTTGATATAATCTTAGTACTTCTCTTTGCACTGTGATGAACAAGTATATACAGAATTTAGTATACACAGGTTCAGGGGAGAAGGGCAGTGCAGGAAAGGGAGACAATGTAGGGATGGGGGGTAGTGTAGGGATAAGTTTTATTGCAGGGGGCGGGGTACAAGGAGGGGAAAATGCAAGAAGGTTATGTAGGCGGTGCAATGTAGGATGGGGGCAGTGCAGGTAGTGTAGTAAAGGGGTTGTGCAGGGATGGGCTAGTGTAGTAAGTGGACAGTGCATCTACACGCCAGTGTAGTGAGGGGAGGCATTAATAAGATTTGAAAGTTATAATTTATGAGCTTAACGTAAATTGTTCTATATTTTGTGTCAATTTGACTTTTTCATTTTGAAAACATATATTTTTTTTTTGTGCTCTTTTTGAAAACATATTAACTTGATCATTTATCTATTTATTTATTGTAGGTAACAAGAAGCGGAGTACAGGCATATTGTCACTTGGTATATATAGAGTATATATTGTTCTTAGCAAAATGATTTGAGTGTTCTTTGTTTTTTTTTTTTTTTTTTTTGTAAGAGTGAGCCAGTGATGAGACAATGACACAATTGATTTTTAGTATATATTTGTATGTATGGATATCAAATTCAATTATGTTTGAATGTACGGGATTCCAAGACATAAATATGATTTTTTTTAATGTTATACATTTATTTCAACTAGGGCAAATATGACATATTTGAGAAAAACTCCATCTCTAATATTCAGTTATGCATATACCATAAATGCTGCAACAAATTAAAGCTTATGCCTATTGAAATCAGTAGCCACGATAATCATTATTGTCAAGAGAAATTATTTGTCACGGTAGCAATGTGGCAATGGACTTATTTTCCACGATATTATTTGTGGCAAACAAATAATTAGCTATGGTATATTGCGGCGACAAAGTTTATTAGCCACGGTAAGATTTGTGGCAAAGAAGATTACTAGTCACGGTAAAGTTTGTGATAACAAGTTTATTAGCCACGGTGAATTTTGATTTTATGCCACGGGTAAATTTTGATTTTATATTGTCCTTT